AGGCATTTCCGCCCCAACCATGTACATGTATGGCATTGGTATTGGTGTGACTTTTGAATTGATTTTTTCGCTCTATTTTAAACTAATTTGAAATTTTAAAAATTGCCTGCACATCAGCATCAAAATACCTTTCTAATGATATATAATTGTTTATACCTTAGAAGTACAGTTTAGCCGTAAAAGGGGTGTAAAGGAAACATGATTGCCTATTTATATAATTGATATACTATTCAAAATAAATGGCAACCCTATTCGAAAATATTTAACATTTCTAATTAGGGGATTTTAATATCCATATCATGAGTATTCTCAGAGATAATACCTATTAACCTTAAAATGCAAAACATTATCTGTACTGTTTTTCTGCTCTTTCTGCAAAGGAAAAATACATACGTAATTTAAAAAAAGTTTAGACACTTATTATTTATTAGTAAAAAGATCGACCTCCGCACCACTTATCGGCTAAATTTTTTGTGTTAAGTTATTTCTTCCCTTTTAAGTAATTTACTTTCTAAAAGTGAACGTAATCGGACCATAAATATGGATTTTCTAATTATGTCGACTCCTGCGCCACCTATCAGGCAAAATTTTTCTGGAGTTATTCCTTTTCATGTAGGTAATATGTATTTTAAATACGAAGCATATCGGACAGTAACTACGCGGTTTTCAAATATCTCGACACATGCGCCATCTAGCGGATTGATTCATCTTTCCTATTGCTTGGTCATCGAATTCTGAGCTAAGTTTGAAGTTTCAAGTCTCCAGCTCATCGGGAAATTGGATAAAAATTCATTCAAAGATTTGATTATACACTGGTAATAAAAGCTTGTATGTAATAAGCTCTTCTTATAAAATCTGTTGCAAGTTTTTTCAGAAATTTTCAACTGTGTTTTCACCACAAATCTTACAAAATAAATTAGGCCCATTGAGGAAACTTCTACACGATAAATAGTTGATACTAAATTCAATTTATTTCTACATAGAAACGTACCATTATTATGTTCTTTAAAATTCGCCATACACAACATATTTATTTTATAAATTTTGTTACGTCGAAAATAAGCTATGTCTAGGGGCCCTAGGATCTTGGACAATTTGTGATTTAATTGTCACCTCTGATGTTAATTCCAACTCTGAAATTTAATTGTAAATTCTGATTTAATGTTAAGATTTATATTATCGATTAATTATTGTGTAAGCAGCTAATTTTTGGAAAATTTCAAGTACAGTAAGATCTCGAATAAATGCCCTCGACATGCAGCTCTTAAAAGAAAGTCTTATTTTATGAATAATATTCCAACCAAATATCTAAGTTGAAATGTCTAGCCAATGTCGTAAGCCAAAAACTTTTTTCCAAAAAAACAAAAAGAAATTATAGACAAAAAGTATTCCTAAAAAAGGAGAATAATAAAAAGAAAATCAACAGGATTTGCTTACTTATGTTAATCCTTCTTTCTCATGCCAATTTAGCGAGTGACATCAAATAAAACCAACGATGCAATGCAAATGGCTTGTCAGAAGCTGAAGCATTTAACTCGTCCGGACACTTGGCGCATAAATCAAGTTTTGCTTTTGGAAAATGTTCACAGCATAAATAATATATGAATGCAACATATGTACATATATAGATACATATGTTTGTATATTATGGTGATCCAAAAACAGTAAAATCGGAATTGTAATGCTCTCACCCCCTAGGATTGTTCTATATTGAAAAATGTACACCTATTTTTTATTTTTTTTTAAATCAAATATTATTTAGATGAAAAAATTTTTTTTCGTATAAATGGTATAGAATTTTTGAAAGTCAATATTTTTCGATCGGAAAACTCTGGCTCTCTTCAGGAGACTTTCAATAACAATACCCAATTGTTTATTTAACCATTTTTGAATACTAACGATTTTTTATTGGTCGCCCTATTGCATTTTAAGGGGTATTTGTGGGTTTTTGGCGGACCTATATATTATAGTTGCAATAAAAAAATATTTAAGTACACAAATGGGTGTTATTATTGGGAATATCCTGCAGGTAAA